GAGCTTCAGCTAAATAAGTGTCTGAGAATAGTGATGTCCCGAACGGTTCGCCGAACGGTTCACGAACTGTTCGCCACGGACTCATCATTGAGTAAACTTTGTCCAGGACGTGGGAGGGTCTGGGAGGGAGGGTCTGCTGCTGATTGGCTGGAATGTGTCTGCTGACTGTGAGGTACAGGGTCAAAGTTTACTCAATGATGAGTCCGTGGCGAACCGTTCGGGACATCACTATCTGAGAATAGTTCCAGAGCATCGATGACAATCCGCTGAGCATTCGACGATTTAAAATGGCCGCCGCCACGTGTTCGGCAAATGAACGCCGGCCACCCAGGCATTCGACAATTAAGCTGCGGTTAACCGCAGCTTCTGGGTGGCCAACCAGCAGCACACTCCACAGACAGGGTAGTTGGCCGTTCGTTAAACTGCACAAACCAACATATGAATGTACAAGGAGAAAATTTTAAATCCAAGTAAGTAAGGCAAACAATGCAATCCAGGGACAAAGGGCTCTGTCCCAAGTGCCTTAAGACACAATAACTTAAAGGGGCCATAGTCCCTGAGCAAGAGGCTAGCAATCAGGCTTCTCCATAAGCCAGCGGTACCGGGCAAGTTGTCACCCAAAACCTCCGTGACAAAAGGAATTTCGGGGGGGGGGGCGAGACTAACCTGTCGGTCAGTGCCTGAGTTAGTCGATATACCCACCCACAATAAACAAGTACAGGAGTAGCCCACCCACAACACACATTTACTGCACCTGGGGATTCCTCCAGGGGTACTGGGCAACACGCTGTGGGGACTTGGGGGGCAGAAGCTAGCTGCACTCTGCCCCAATGCCAGCGCTTCTGCTGGGGTAGCCTGGATGCAACTTGGCTGGGGAGAGGAGACATCTCTTACCTCCTCCTCCTGGTAGTCCTGTAAGGGTAGTTGGGGATCTGGACTGGCTGTCCAACATCCCTGTAGGTTGGGTGCAGAGACTACGGTCCCATCTGCACCGACTGGGGGACCACGGTTTCCCCTTTGTAGGGTGAGCTGCCGCTGGGGGGGAGACCGATTGTCTCCACTCCCTGCAGGGACCACTGCCGCTGTGGAGAGGGACCGACTGTCTCCTCTCCTGGTAACGCTGCCTGGCACTGGATAGTGGTAGCGACCATCTCCACTCCCAGTGATAATGGTTGCTGCAGGGATGAGGGACCAACAGTCTCCTCTCTCTGGGATGCTGGCGGCCGCTGGGGAGAGAGACCGGTTGTCTCTTCTCCCTCGTCAACACACTACCGCTGGGGAGTCATACCGACTGTCTCGACTTCGACTCCCGGTGATGATGGTTGCTGCAGGGACGAGGGACCAACAATCTCCTCTCCCTGGGATGCTGGCTGCCATTGGGGAGAGAGACCGGTTGTCTCTTCTCCCTTGACAACACATTGCCGATGGGGAGTCAGACCGACTGTCTCGACTTCGACTCCTGGTGATGATGGTTGCTGCAGGGACGAGGGACTGACAATCTCCTCTCCCTGGGATGCTGGCTGCCGCTGGGGAGAGAGACCAATTGCCCACAGCCCCAATCTCCACAATCGGCACTCGTATTCCCATGCCGCTCGATTCTCCTCATCCAACTTGCGCATGGTTGCCAGGATTGTCTCTGCCGAAGGATTCGGGCCATACCTGGTTAACCACCTTTTTGCCTCCTCCCTGTAAGCGGCGCCCTCAAAGCGATAGGTCATGTTTGCTGTGAACAGGGGCGCTGTATGAATACTAGCGTTGCCCTCAATTTGTAATTCCAAACATTACCGGTGCCTCTGAGCTGCTTCTTCTCGCACTAGGACGCCATCCCAGCACTGCCACCACTGTAACGGAACCGCTGGCACCCCCCGACTGGCACCTTCCACTGACGGATGCTCCTAGTGCATTCTGAGGGCTCCAAGCACTCCACCTGACACCATAACCACTGCAGACCCCACGAACCGCCGCAGCTTGGTTGGGGTCTCGCCGTCTCCACCCACTCTGGACCCAAGACCAGGGTCCAGCTTCCAGTAGGTCAACCTCTCCGAATTTCAGAGAGCAGGAACAGGAACAAGCTCTTAACAGAGCTTAGTGATTATACCCTGGGGAGTATAGTGATTATAGCAATCCCCAGAGTGTTGTTCTTCAATCGCCCAAGCATGAGCCAAAACTTCATGAAGGTACAAGATGATCTGCTTTAATGCTGGCTACACTCTGCCTTTTATGATGGTCTTCCAGCACAGATACTCCCACAGGGGACCTTGTGGAAGACTGTGACACAAAGTACAGAACCAATCAGTTTACAGTACAATTATTAAACACACCCACTACAAACAATGGAATCCCTCCTCTCTATCCTGGAGATAATTGGCTTAAGTGGTTGGAACAAACTTAATTATCTCCAGGTAGAGAGAAACATTTTCTTTTTACATTTTAACAAAACTGTATTAAAATCCATAATTTATATTTTACCAAATGGAGTCCCCATGTTCAACATACCCCAAGATTGCTTGGATCAATATAGTCGAATAGCCCTCAGCTCCCACGAACACAGATCAAATGCCCTCGAGTTAAAGATTCAGTTCACCCACCGGCTGTTCGTGCAAAATGTATCTGAAAATAGCTCGATGCTCTAAGCTACCTGTGGTTGGTCTCTTTCGTATGTTGAAAGTCCCGAATGGTATATTGTTTGTGCATAAAGAAACAAATGGGATGGATGATGGTGAGCTTCAGCGGTGTTCGTCTAAACAAGTGTCCAAGAATAGTTCCAGAGCGTCGACGACAATCTACCGCTGAGCGTTAGACGATTCAAAATGTCTGCCACCACGTGTTCGGCAAACGAAAGCCGGCCACCCAGGTATTCGACAATTAAGCTGCGGTTAACTCTTCCCTGCAGCAACCATCATCACCGGGAGTTGAGACAGTCGGTCTGACTCCCCAGCGGCAGTGTGTTGTCAAGGGAGAAGAGACAACCGGTCTCTCCCCAGCGGCAGCCAGCATCCAAAGGAGAGGAGATTGTTGGTCCCTCGTCCCTGCAGCAACCATCATCACCGGGAGTCGAGACAGTCGGTCTGACTCCCCAGCGGCAGTGTGTTGTCAAGGGAGAAGAGACAACCGGACTCTCTCCCCAGTGACAGCCAGCATCCCAGAGAGAGGAGATTGTCGGGTGGCTAACCAGCAGCACACTCCACAGACAGGGTGGTCGGCCGTTCGGCAATTTGTTCGTCTGTACGAACAGTATTATCCTGGCTGTAATGGAAGTTAAACTGCACGAAACAACATATGAATGTACAAGGGGGAAATGTAAAATCCAAGTAAGTAAGGCAAACGATGCAATCCAGGGACAAAGGGCTCTGTCCCAAGAGCCTTAAGACCAAATAACTTAAAGGGGCCATAGTCCCTGGGACAAGAGGGCTTCTCCATAAGAGGGCTTCTCCATAAGCCAGCGGAACCGGGCAAGTTGTCACCCAAAACCTCAGTGACAAAAGGCATTTCATCACAATTATCTCCAGGTAGAGAGGATATTCCCAAGTTAAACTGTAATAAAAACACATTAAAATACATAACTAATATTCTTCATAATTAAACCCCCATGTTCGACATATCCACAGATAGCTTGGATCTGAGCGCTCAATATGTCCGAAAAGCGCTCAGATCCCACAAACACAGTCAGATCGCCATGGGGTTTAAGTATTTTCACGAACCGTTCGGCATAATCTGTCCAGAATCAGTTATATGGGTTTTAGACCTCAGGGTCGGTCTGATTTATGAGTTTTAGAAGTAACGAACGTCACTGCGTTCGTATGAAACCAAACGAAATGATGGAAGTCTGGAAGTCCCAGGGGTGTTCGTGTGAAACTGTGACTGAGAATAGTTCCATGCAGTCGACAACAAAATACGGCTGGGCGTTCGATAGTTTAAAATGGCCGCCGCCAGGTGTTCGTTCATACGAATGATGACCACCCAGTGTTAAAGAGGTCAAAAAGGTTAACAAACAGCACACTTCCCTGCTGGGAGGGAGCTTGACGGGTTTGTGATCGTCAATAGGATATCGTCAGCGTAGGCCGCTATTTTGTATTCGTCTCTTTGTATTTTGAGACCTTGAACCGTCGGGGTGTCATGTATTTTTTGTAGCAGGGGTTCCAGGGAAAGAGCGAAAAGGAGCGGGTAGAGTGGGCAGCCCTGTCTCGTGCCATTATGGATCGAGATTGCTGTTGGTTTTGTGTCAGGTATTAGGAGGGTGGCCTGTGGGCGGTCATACAGTGCGGTTAGTCACTGAGTTTTTGTTGTCCGTGAAGTAATGTCCTAGTTCTGTATGGATGGTTTTTCTAATGTCGGGGTTTTGGAGTAGGGTGGGGTTTAGTCGCCAGGTCCATATTTTTGTCGTCAGAGGGATTTCCAGTTCCAATGAAATGTCTGCGTGATCCGACCACGCTATGTTGCCTATGGAAGTTTTCGTCGTCAGGGGCAGTAGTGAGGTGGAGATATGAAACATGTCTATTCTGGAGTATAAGGTATGTGGGTGTGAATAGAATGTGAAGTCTGTTGCAGTGTTATGTTGCAGTCTCCAAATGTCGTGTAGGCCCATATGGAGGGTGAAGCTCGAGACTGTATGTAAATTTTAGTCACATATCTCTGTATGTAAATTTTAGTCACATATCTCTGTTCCCCTTGTCCTGAGTTAAAGCCCATCTCCTTTCCATTGTATCTTCATTTTGTAGATTTCTGTGCCCTTCCCTTCCCACCACTAATTTAAATTCTCCTCCAATCTACTAGCCATCCTGTCCTGCAGCACAGCAGAAACTCTTTCGTCTAGGTGCAATCATCCATCACACAAAGACGTCAGCCACATTTTAACCACCCTAATCAAAAGTAAAATGGGAAATACTACCTTAGAGGTTAATTCCTTCAGTTGGCAGATTAACAAATATATCAAAATGTAATTTACTTATAACTCTGCAAGCCCAAAAATGCATTGTCGGGGGGCGGGTCATCTGGACGCCATGTACATGGGCTCCAGCACTAACTCAAGCGTACGAAACCAATCCTGGCTGCTTAAAAGTCGGACAACACGACAGCAATGCACAGAGAGCGACCCTGGCACATCGCAGCCGCCGACATTAAACTTATCGCAAGCCGACAGAGGACGACACATGCAGAGCACAAGACCGCCCGCGGCCGCAACACGCAGCAAGAAGCCGCAAAGAGGCACAACCCCGAGACACCCGAGCGGGAAATACCGCACAGATGAAACTCCTAGGTGGAGGCTCACCCCAGGCCCGGGGTGCGGCGCTGCCCCCCCCCCCTTGGCCGGTGGGGGTTATACCGGCCATTTGGCGGTGACCCGTGACACGACAGGGGCTCCCGCGTGGAGTGTGCGTTTGCCGCCTACACTGGCAAAGGCTGTGGAAGAACCAGCAAGCCAGCAGAAGAATACACAGACACGGAGGGGAAAAGAAAGCTCTGGAAGAGTGACATACAGATCCCAAACTGCTCATTGCCAGAAAAAACAGCCCACCAAGGGCCTGGATGAGATAATCGGGAACTGACATGGGGAAGTTCACCAGCACTGGGATGGAGGCGCTTCATTACAGCTTCACTCACCCAGAGGGCTGCAGCGCAACTTAACAAGGGGGACTGACATGGGCGGCTCGTGCAGGCCCAGACAACGCTGAGCGACGGGCGGAACACCCGCGTGGCTCGCACGCCGACCGGAGCAGTGAGTACCCCGATCTCCGGGTATTGGTGGTCGCCGGAGAATACTGTCCCCACTGTAGTGAGCCCTGTGAGGCGGGAGTGCGCTGACCTGTCAAAAACGGCCTTTTAATAAAACACTGCTTATGGTTAAGGTAACCCTTGCTGGCATGGTCCCATCCCCAAAACCCCCAAAAAATAATGTGAAGAAATCCCTCTTTGTGTTCATTATTTCTCCCCTTTTCATTCGGTAGATGTAACTACTGAACAGAGACCACCCCCCTGGCTCGTTAATTTCAAAAGCATGCTTCAATTAAACCCTCTACCTGTGTGGCCGCCGTTCGTATTGCCGAACGCCACGTGGCTGAGAAAACTGCGGCCATCTTGTTTGTGTGAACAAAGGTAGCAGGACTTGGTCGTCGAGTGTCTGGAAATAAAATCGGACACTCGACTTCCCGAACACCGGTCCCAACATACAAACGCTGGATCTTTGTTTCCCGAACAGCTAGGAGAGCGCTGTTCGGTACTTTTGCACCTTCGTATGAGGGGAACAATCGCTGCTAGGAGCCAGGGGAAACCATTCGTGGGATTATTCGTTTATTTCAACCTCATGAAATAGACCGTAAAAGCCACCCAAACTCATGAAACTGTTTTGGCAGCCTCGGGGGAAGCCGGTCACCTAAGATCTCCATGGAATTTGAAAGCCCCTGAACTGATCTGGGTGATTTTTGGATATGTTGGTCACCCAGATCAGGGCTATCAGGGGATATGACTTTTAAGGGGATACCCCATGTTTTTAGGGGTGTTCTGAAAGTTGGGGAAAACTGTACTTTTTCTGCCTGGAGATAATGAAGTTAATATGTTATCTGCCTTGATTATCTCCAGGTCCGGGGAAGGGAATTATATGTTTGCAATGGGAGTGTATAACTATTTCTCTTGTTATGATTGGCTGTACCATGTCCCTCCTTGTGGGATGTCCCCCTGCACGGAGACTTGCATAAAAGCCAGTGTGGCACAATAAAGCTCAGTTCTGTTGCACCCTTCTTCTAGACTCCAGCTGATGTTTGGCATTCGTATGCTTTACTAAGGGAATCGTCTGGTAAAGCTACTGTATTCGTATGGGAATCGTTTATTTTATCTGCCAAACGGAGTGGTATACCTATTGATGCTCTGGCCGTTCGGAAGGAAACTACCGAATGAGTATTGGATATACTAGGTTTCCTTACAAATAATAATAAAGAAGTAGAGTTAAAACTTACATCAGATCACATGCTAAGGGCAAGCTTTTCTCTGCCACCCGATCCTCCTTTGGTGATGCAATTCCCCCCCACTGCAGTGGGAGGGACAGTGGCGGCTCTAGACTTTGTGAGGCCTTAGGCGAAACTCAAATATAAAGCCCCCACTAACAACTAAAGTTAAATAAAAAAAAAAATAGGGGTTACATTGTGTGTATAAGGTGCCGTAGTTGTATTGAAGGACAAGCCTGCAGCGCTGGATACAGAGAGCTAGTCTCTGTATTCATTGTTCAGAGGCTTGCAGTGTCTTGGCTCCCTGTGCCGCAGCATTGTGATCTCTCTTACTGTAGTTATGGCATAATATGCAAACTAACTTAATTTGCAATAAACAAATTAGCAATTATGCCAATCGTTTATACATGACTGAGGGGTATGGTTACATAGTCTTGAAATTGTGTAACCATAAGCATTTCTGAGTGTATCTGGCATTGTCTACCTATGTGTGACAGGGTTTGGTGTGAGGGTTTATGTGGTAGGGTGAATGTGGCAGGGTGAAGGGGGTGAGTGTAACAGTGCAAGAGAAGGTGAGACTGACAGGGTTGATGGGGGGGTTAATGCGATAGGGTAGGTGTGGCAGAGGGTGGTAGGGGGGCTGGGTGTGGTAGGGTGGATGGGGCAGGGTGTTGGTAGGGTGGCTGTGACAGGGCAGGGTGAGCGCAGTGACAGGCACAGGGTGGTAGGGGCAGAGGGTGGCTGTGACAGGGCAGGGGATAGTAGAGGGGGCAGAGGGTGGTAGGTGGCTGGGGCAGGGGTGGTAAGGGCTGGTGCAGAAAGTGGTAGGGGACTGGGGTGGTAAGGTGGCTGGGGCAGGGCAGGCGGTGGTAGGAGTGCAGAGGGTGGTAGGAGGGCTGGAAGGGAGCAGAGAGTGGTAGAAGGGTCTGTGACGGGGCAGGGGGCGGTATGAGGGCAGGGGGTGGTAGGGGTCTGTGACAGGGCAGGGGGAAGCAGGAGGGCAGTGACAGGGTATGGAGTGGTAGGGGGCAGGATGGCTGTGGCAGGGCATGGGATGGTAGGGGGGCAGAGGATGGTAGGGGCTGGGGCAGGGAGTGGTAGGGGTCTGTGACAGGGCATGGGGTGCCAGGAGGGCAGCTGGGGCAGAGGGTGGTAGGAGCACAGTGACAGGGTATGGTGTGGTAGGGAGGCAGAGGGTGGTAGGGTGTCTGGGGCAGGGGGGCTGTGAAAGGGCAGGAGGTGGGAGGGGGGCTGAGGGTGGCTAGGGTAGAGGGTGGTAGGAGCACAGTGACAGGGTAGGAGGTGGTAGGGGGGCAGAGGGTGGTAATGTGTCTGGGGCAGGGGCTGTGACAGGGCAAGGAGTGGTAGGGGGCAGAGGAGGCTGGGGCAGAGGGTGGTCAGAGGGCAGTGACAGGGTAGGGGTTAGTAGGGGGCAGAGGGTCGTAGGGTGGCTGGGATAGAGTTCGTGGGGGAGCTGTGACAGGGCAGGGGGTGGTAGGAGGGCAGTGACAGGGTAGAGGGTGGTAGGGGGGCAGTGGGTGGTAGGAGGGCAGTGACAGGGTAGGGGGTGGTAGGAGGGCAGAGGGTGGCTGGGGCAGTGGGTGGTAGGGTGGCTGGGGCAGGGGGTGGTAGGAGGACAGTGACAGGGTAGGGGGTGGTATTAGGGCAGTGGGTGGCTTGGGCAAAGGGTAGTAGGAGGGCAGTGACAGGGTAGGGGGTGGGGGGCTGAGACTGACAGGGCATGTATAAATACCTTTATTTTAAACTTATTCCTTTAACCCGGTGGTCCGGTGGGCAGGCTGTATCTCTGGTGGTCTGGTGGGCCCCCTTTACGGTCGTCAGCTCCGCCGGGTGCAGAGCTGCAGACCACGTGGTAAGTCTAGTCTCGCGATCTCAGCCAGTCAGAGCATTGCCGTGGTAACCCGCGGCAACGCTCTGATTGACTTAGATCGCGAGACTCCCTCAGTCTGCAGCTCTGCAATCAGCGGAGCTGCCGACTGGATGGCACTCTCCTAGGCAGGCGATGTGGAGTTACCTCGCACCCGGTGGCATAAAGTGCAAGCCACCGGGCCCCCTCCTGTGTCGGGCACTGCCCTAAGGTGATTTAGGCGGCCGCGAGGCCCCCATCCGCGCGAGGCCTTAGTCGGCTGCCTAAATCGCCTAATTAGAGAGCCGCCTCTGGGGAGGGATGTCCCAAGGATGGACTGAAGGAAGGATTGGTGGTGGACTGATGGAAGGAGAGGGGGTCTATGTTGACATTGCTTGTCTGTCACAAACATGCTGTGTGCACTGGCAAGAGATCCCCATTATGCATAGAATTCGCATTATCCAACTTGGAACTTTCACTGTGCAGCGTTTCAAATTTTAGTGCTGCACTTAAAAACTCCAAGCACTGAAGTGATCATGGTACTTAGATAATAAACTCTTAACATGACTAGCACAGGACAGAAAAAAGAAAACATTTTAAAAAAGCATTGAGGATACAGAAGAAGACAATAATACTAGGAAATATCCCTCAAAAATATTCTGGCAGACAGTATCAGTGCTAACATAGAAACATAGAATGTGACGGCAGATAAGAACCAGTCGGCCCATCTAGTCTGCCCAATTTTCTAAATACTTTCATTAGTCCCTAGTCTTATCTTATAGTTAGGATAGCCTTATGCCTATCCCACACATGCTTAAACTCCTTTACTGTGTTAACCTCTACCCCTTCAGCTGGAAGGCTATTCCATGCATCCACTACCTCTCAGTAAAGTAATACTTCCTGATATTATTTTTAAACCTTTGTCCCTCTAATTTAAGACTATGTCCTCTTGTTGTGGTAGTTTTTCTTCTTTTAAATATAGTCTCCTCCTTTACTGTGTTGATTCCCTTTATATATTTAAATGTTTCTATCATATCCCCCCTGTCTCGTCTTTCCTCCAAGCTATACATGTTAAGATCCTTTAACCTTTCCTGGTAAGTTTTATCCCGCAATCCATGAACCAGTTTAGTAGCCCTTCTCTGAACCCTCTCTAAGGTATCAATATCCTTCTGAAGATACGGTCTCCAGTACTGTGTACAATACTCCAAGTGAGGTCTCACCAGTGTTCTGTACAATGGCATGAGCACTTCCCTCTTTCTACTGCTAATACCTCTCCCTATACAACCAAGCATTCTGCTAGCATTTCCTGCTGCACTATTACATTGTCTGCCTACCTTTAAGTCATCAGAAATAATCACCCCTAAATCCCTTTCCTCAGATGTTGAGGTTAGGACTCTATCAAATATTCTGTACTCTGCCCTTGGGTTTTTACGTCCACATTAAATGTCAGTTGCCACAATTCTGACCATTTTTCTAGTTTACCTAAATCATTTGCCATTTTGCTTATTCCTCCTGGAACATCAACCCTGTTACATAGCTTAGTATCATCAGCAAAAAGACATACCTTGCCATCAAGACCTTCTGCAATATCACTAATACAAATATTAAAGAGAATGGGTCCAAGTACAGATCCCTGAGGTACCCCACTGCGCATTAGGTCTCACCCATCGGCTGACATAAGTGGGGGAGGAGTATTTGCAGAGCCTGACCCAGCGCCGAGGGACAACCCAACTTGGGTTGG